ATCGGGCCGGGCAGATGGCACTCCATTTTATCGCAATGGCCCCAGGTTGTAGTGCGCAATGCCGCTTTCTGCCGAAACGCGCGCTTTTGCCACGCAGACTGCTGAAGCAGCGTGCACTGCCTCTGCGTAGGCCACCCAGACAATATACCTCCCCCTAAGCTCCCCCTCCGTCCCCAGATCTGGTTACGCAGCGTGAGTGGAATGTGAACTTACGGCGTAAACACTGCTGACCAGGGCATATACTCGTCCAGACACTTTGCTGGGCCGAGCTTGTGGTTCGGGTGTTGCCTTCTTGAGAAACACTGCCAGGCGTGCTCGGTGCCAGGCGAAGTAAACCGAGTGGGGCAATATTTGCCGAGATCTTTGAGATCGCCAGACTCTGTGTATGCGCCACACTGGCTACAGATGAATACTACCCCGAGGGTGTAATTTGACAATTGCACCTTGTGATTGCGAGGGTTCTGCGACAAATCTGACAGCGCTGTGTTGTGCCCTCTGCAGGGGGTGGCACGTGGCGACGGTTTAGCAGCGTTGCGTGAAAACACAAACAGGTGCCACAAACCCAACGGCTCCGCTTCCACACCCATGTGTGGCCATCGGCGGGGCGCGGCCGAGTGGCATGCGCCTCTGCAGCCGCGCCTGCATTCGGATGCGCGGCCAGGGGTGGGGAGGGCGGAGGGTAGGGTAGAGTTCGGCGCGCTGCTCCTACACCCGTCACGAATCCCTCCTGACGCAGGCTCTTATCAAACGTCGAACGCATTGCTTTGGTCGGGGCCAACTTGGGAAAGAGGGCAAGAACTTTGACAACGTACTTCAGGTATCGCTTTAAAGTGGCCTCTTCGTCTGCCCATCCTTGCCTTTCGGCATCAGAAGGCTGAGCAAGAGTAAGGGCTCCCTTTTTTTGCGTACTTGTCTGCCCCGTCATTCCCCACGGCCAAATACCACTCGCGGGTCAATTGGGGCAGGGGGGCCGGGTCAACATGGGCTTGGACTTTCTCGATGCGAGAATCGCCCCAAGATGGGGAGGCCCTGATCTGTATGTGAATTCCTGCATGTAGATCTTGGCGCGACGTGATGCTCGACCATGCGGCATCGGCCATGCGGACCAAGCCGAGAAAATCAGAGTAAATGATCGACGCGCGGGGGCAGTGCTCCATGACCGCGAGCACTGCTATGTGCTCTGCGGCAGGTGATGTCTGGGGGTAGGCTCTCCCCACTGCCCCCCGTACCGCGGCGTGCAACTCGCCCGCTGGCGCCAGTTTTGCGACAGCCCACCCCGCCGAGTGGAAGGGGACGGGGCCGTCCTTGAAACACGATCCGTCGGTGAAAGCATCCCCCTCGAATGCCTCTGCGATGGAGGCGCCGGGGTCCCGGCACCAAAACTGGAACTGGTTGGCGCCAGAACCTTGAGGCGGATTTACGAGGGGCGCGGGCAGCTGCATGAAGCCGCAGACCACTGGAAAGTTTCTGCGCCGATCTGACAATAAAACTTTGTCGGCGCCCGTGAGGAACTGGTCTCTCAGGAGCGCCGTGCGCGGGCAGTGATGTAGTCGATGGGACAGACAATCCGACGCCCCCCCACAAATGCATGTGGTGCTGACTGGGTAACCTGCCTGCTGGAGCTGATGGCCTGTCCACGAGGACTGGCGCCAGAAAGAAAGAAGGAGTCCGTGCTCACTCTGGACGAGGCTATTTTCTCGGAGCATATTCCGTGCCACACTTAGGTCTAGAGCAGTCCTTGCGGGTAGGCTCATCTTGTGCGCGATGCTGCTCAACTGGGCGCTGCGCCATGCGTCGCGGAACTTGCACTCTACATACTTCGGCGAGAAGGCAGTCAGAGGCCAACGCGCGCCTTCCGGGTCCACGGCCGCGAAGGGGGTTGAAAAAGCGCCAGCCAATGCGCTCTAGGGAGAGGATCGCGGCAGCGAAAGGACCTCGAACTTCAGCCCAACACGCGGGAGGTCGATCCAGTATGGGCTGGGCAAGGCCGCGGAGGGTGGGAAGGGGGTGCGGGTTCCGCGCCGAGCGGTCCAAGCCTGACTTCCATGCAATTTGAGACCACAAGGGGGCAGGGGCCAAGCCCTGCCGCCACGTCGGGTCCTCGTGAACGGCCAACGACACGGATCGGGACCTGACGTCGCCTTTTGCCCCTACGAGTCGGAGAGAAAAGGTTTGCGCTTCCCTCAGCTCTTTCTGATCAAGGCCTGTGACGCCAGCGCCGTACATGCCATGCTGCTCGAGGCCCGTGGCAAAAATCTTCCGGAGGTCCGTGCCAGCTGCTCGCAACGCATTAAGACGCCTACGCCTGGCCTGGAGCTTGAGGAGTCTGCCTTTTAGGACCTGGCGGCATTTCTTGTGCCTCCTTTGGTTGCCCACGATTTCATCGATGCCGAGGTTCCTGCCGGAAGAACAAATAGTTCCCGCGTGGCGCCCCAATGCCTTTCCCAACTTGTCGCGCAGGTAGCTGGAATTCGCTGTGGTGATCGACTTGGACATCGCAATGCTGCAGTGCAAGTCATGCGCGATGACGTCGTGCAGGCCAGCCGCGCCTTTAACCAAACTCTGGATGACCTCCTCGGGGCCCTGGCGGGGCCGGCCGGCGTGGAGATCGTCGATAAACATGGAGAAGGCGAGGGATTCATTGTTGCGCTGCCGGACCTCTATGGGTTCGATGGTATACGCCTGAACCTCGAATGTGGCGAAACCGCACCCTGCTGGGGGCCCTCTTGTCGGGTGTCCGACCTCGGCGGCCATTTTTTCAAAGGCAACAAAACGACGCCCCCCCCCCCGCGTTGGTTCAGGGGCACGCACAGCAGTCTCATCGGGTATTTCGAGCGGGCGGCACGATTCCATAATACGGGATGCTCTACGTGTTCGTAGTAGTCGCTCATGTCCCAAAGGAATGCGCCAGAATGAACCTTTGCGTCTCGTGCGCTGTGGCTCTCAGGCACGAGGGCTTGGAGAAATGCGGATTCCTCTATATGCTGCGCCCCTGCTGATGCCCGATGAAGGCTCTCTTGTTTGCGAGCCCCCAGGCGCGCGCCAGGGGCTGGCGGCTCTCAGCCCACGCCCTGTGCAATGCTGGCGACAGCCCGATGCCCCTGATAGACGGGGCGCCAGGGGCCTTGGGTTTGGCCTTTTGGAGCAGTGTTGACACAATCGCTAAACTTGCAATGGGAAGTTGCCCGTGCGCCCCCACCGCCTCCAGAAACAGCGACACTACTGTTAAATGAGAGCCCGGAAGCATCGCAAAATGACGCGGGTGGAACCCGTCAAAAGTCTGGGCAGTGGACGCTGGGAAGGAGGCTGCTGCGTCGCGAATGTCCCGCGGCGTGAGCCTGGGAAGCGGCTCCCCCACAGGCTGGACAGGTGCTGGGTGTTCAGGAGTTGCGCGCCACAGTTGTGATAGACGCGACGCCTCCACTTCCAGGACAGCGGAAGGCCGGCCGGTCCATTCCTCCCCTCGTTTGACGTGAGTTGGCTGCCAAGCTGGCTGGTCTTTGGTCCACTTGTGGGCCCAGCCGACCGATTTTTGATTGGCTTGCTGTGCTCAGGCTTTCCAAGCCTTTGCACGGTCTGCATCCTCGACGCGCATTTCGGCTTCTAGTTCAGCTTCCAAGTGGGTGGAGATTCGGCCTAGTAGCTCCAGCGCCAGGACAATCGGCACCACTATTCTATGTCCGTCGGGGGCGATCTGCCGGCATGTATCGACGGCCTGGTCTAAAGCCGCCGCCACCACCTGGGGAAGCGGGTTGAGGTCGATAGGAGGGGAGCTGATGGCAAGGATAGGCTGTTCCAGAGATTCCCTGGATATGAGCGCCCGCTGAATTGCGGCCAATGCCTGACAGCCCCATTGCAACGGCTCCGTGCGCGACAGCCAGGCATCGAATTTGGACTGGGGCTGGAGCGGCCGCCATTCCAGACGCGGGGATGGGTAATTACGCAACCCCTCTGGTTCGGGCTGCCACGTGAGCGCGGCAATGGCACGGCCGAGAGCCTTGACAAAGCCCGCATAGAAAATGTCCAACAGGCGCTGTCTCACGGCATGGCGCGGACTAGTCCGGAGCTGCTCGAGAAGTTGATGGCCTCCCGCCGCCAGGTGAGTCCAGCTCTCTAGCTGGGGACTGGGACCTATGGGCAGAGAAACGGGCAATCGCACTGGCTTTCGCAAGACGGATGCCAATACGTCTTGGTCGAGATCGGCCGAGAGAACGACCGGCCGGTGGCCCGCGAGCGCTGCAGCGTTACACTTGGTAAGCGATGCGATGCCCGACACGCGAGGCAAAAGACTTCGGGAGACGATGAAATAGTCGATTTTGGTCTTGGCCTTCTCTGACAAGTACGTGCATGAGGGTGGTGCAACCATTCAAAAGCCGCTTCGCTCACATAAATCAGACTGAGAGAGGATAGACGGGTTGAAATTGAAATCCCTTCCCGCAGCCAAGGGCAACGAACTCTGATGTTGGAGGACCCCTAAATGCGCATGTAACGCCTTGTTCTCGGCACTCAGACGCACGCGGGGGTGGAGGTATAGGGAGACAAGCAGGACAGGCTCAAACCCGGATAAATCGAGCTTGGTCCCTACCATGCGGGATGCCTCCGGCGGGGAGGGACGAGACTGAGGTAAGGGGGACACTCCAATGTCGTGAGCTTGCCGAACTAAAATTGCGACTCCGCCGATGAGGCGGTTGCCGTGGGATTTGATTGCGGGTGGGAAAACTGGGTACCACTCGAGACGTCTGCACGCCTCGGAAGCGAGTTTTATATTATGTTCGTCTTGGAGAAGGGTCTCCTAAATGAGAAGGGCGCGGTATTCATTAAATCTGCCCTGTTCTAAAAACTTGCGCACGCGAGACCAGGGGTCCCCGTTGAAAAATAAAAACTTGAAGGACTCAGAACGGTCAGGCAGCACTAGGGCTGACAATATCCGCGGGCTCGTGCCCGCTGCAGCCGTGGGCGGCCGCGAGTTACCCCGGCGACCGGGGTGCAGCAGCCTCCACGCCGACCGCCTTTCCGCCGGGCTCTTGAGAGTCGAGGTCAGGCGTCTCGGCGGGGTCCCCTGGCTTCTCGGTGCCAGCGGCTTGGGGTTCACTGGGATCTCCGTCGCCTGCTGCCACGCCTGCACCCGTGGCCGCAGCGGCCAGTGAGCCGCCCTGGAGCTCCGACATGGCGAGGTCGACTTTGGCGCAGGCGTCGTTGATCCTCAGGAGGACCTTATCTGCGAAGGGCGCAGCGGATCCCATTGGGGGAGGGATGGGCTCAGGAGGCGTGGGGTTGTCGCGGTTGTGGATGAAAGCTTTGATGAGGTTGGGCAGCTCGTTGGAGTCGATCTCATGGATGTGAACGTCCGGGTGGGCCTTGAGTTAGTCGATGGGGTCCTGGGAGCTCGGGGTCTGAACCGCTGACGGGGTGCCTCCAGAGACGGCCGGGAGGAGGCTCTGGGTTGTGGTGAGCTGCTTCTTGAGGGACTTTAACACTTCAATCTTGCAGAGGATTTTGCCACCTAGCTGGAAGTGCTCATCGCACAGCTTGTCTATCTGATCGCTGATGGTCGTCATCTGAAACAGGTCGTTCTGCAGGGCATCATCCGCCTTGTCGACCTGAAACTGTATCCGCTTGGCCTGCTCTTCGGGCGCAAGACGGAGGAATTCTTCGTCTCGGAGCGTTTTGAGCCGTTCCTTGGCTGCCTCGAGGTGCGGGACGGCCTCCTTGGAGCCCTTCTTGTAGTGGCCTTCCCAGAAATTGATTTCGGCCTGTGCGAGGGCAAATTTATTGAGTGCCTTTGGTGGGTTGTCCCCCCGCGGAGGCGTGGAAGGAGGGCGCTTCTTGGGGGCGTTTCCCTCCTCGCGCGCCCTCTTGTGCTGGGGCGTAATCCGCTGCCATGGCTTCCGGATGCGATCCTGGTTGACCGTCCGCTGGTGCGCACCCGCAGGGACGTGCGGGGGGCATGCTGGGGGCGTCTCGGGTCCTGAGCTCCTGGAGCGGGACGGGCCGGGAGCGTCGGGGCGAACTGGCGGTGGTGGTGGAGGGGGCGTTTTGCCAGATGCGTTGTGCTGCGGAGCCACCACGTGTGCATGGGTCGCCCATGGTACGTGAATCTGGTGGCCCACGGGAACGGCCGCATGCAACTTGCTCGGGCCGCAGAGGAGGCCCCGGCTACACGTGAGTTGCTGGCCATTCCCCAGAAGCTTCCCGGTGCACCCAGCGACTGGGCACAGATCACCAGCCCGGCGCGGCGTGCGGGACCGCCCTTTTGCTAGTGCCCTTCGCTAGGCCATTGCCCTTCATTTGTGGGATGGTTTGGCCGCGAGAGGGTGGTGCGGGCATGCCGCCAGCTCGCAGAATTGCTACCTAAATGGAACCAGAACGTCTGTGGAGCGGGCATGCCGTTATAACAAAGACAGGGTATCACCATGTACCGGCTCTTGCGGCCTCCCTTTAGGAAAGATCAAGCCAAAAGCAAACACAAGCGACTGCCAAAAAGGAGATGCCTCCCGGAGGCGCCCGGAGGCCTCCAGGGAGGCATTCCGACAGCGCAGCAGACCGAGTCCTCAGAGCTGCGTCCAGCCGTGCCGGCGAGGGGCCCCAAAGAGGCCAAGGGCAGGGCGGTCCCAAAGGACAGGGCCGTCGCCGCCCCGGTCCTGGAGAGAAGGAGGGAGAAGATACCCGGAGCTCAGCGCTCCAGCCACTGCTGTGAACCCGCTCCACAGACGGGCGTCCGAATGAACAAGTAGACACCTTTGGAGAGCAGCGATGCAAACATGGATACTACCGCAAGAAGGAACGCCGCAGGAACGGAGAAGCAGGAAGACAAGGGAAGAACAAGGAAACCGGGGAAACAAAAAGGCGAAGCAGGACGGGGCAGCAGACAGGGGGAGGAAGAGAAGAGGGAAGACGGGGCAATCGAACAACCCAGGCAACAAAGTATACCAATATCCCAAGTTGGGCACGTAGGCAACGGCCTGCGGGGGAAACTAATTTCGCCCCGCGGGGAGGAAGGCCCGAGCCTATTGGAAAGACGGGGGTAGCGGGATGAACTGGGAGAGAGCAAGGGCACCCGGGTAGCACAATGGCAAAAAAGGATGGGGTAGCAGCGGTGGAAGCAGGATGAAGGATTGATCGCTGGTGTCGCCCCAGCTCCCTAGCCTTTGGGGACTTGTGAGGGTGCTCGTCGAGAGTGCCCGAGGGCACTCTCTTACCAGCGCCCCGTGCGTCCCTCACAAGAATCGACCCCGAAGGATGCGGGTAGCCTTTGGCACGGGGAGGAGGAGGAGGAGGAGGAGGGGAGGAGTAGAGGAGAGGAGAGGAGGAGGAGGAGGAGGAGGAGGAGGAGGAGGAGGAGGTGAGGAGGAGGAGGAGGAGGAGGAGGAGAGAGGAGGAGAGAGGAGGAGGAGGAGGAGGAGAGAGGATAGGAGGAGGAGGAGAGAGAGGAGAGGAGGAGGAGGAGGAGGAGGAGGAGGAGGAGAGGAGGAGGAGGAGGAGGAGGAGGAGGAGGAGGAGGAGGCGGAGGAGGAGAGGAGGAGGAGGGAGGAGGAGGAGGAGGAGGAGGAGGAGGAGGAGGAGGAGGAAAGAGGACGAGGAGGAGCGAGAGCGAGGAGCGAGGAGTATGAGCGAGGAGAGAGGAGGAGGAGAAGAGGAGAAGGAGGAGGAGGAAGGAGCATGATGATGATGATGATGATGATGATGATGATGATGATGATGATGATGATGATGATGATGATGATGCTGATGATGCTGATGCTGATTGATGATGATGATGATGATGATGATGATGATGATGATGATGATGATGATGATGATGATGATGATGATGATGATGATGATGATGATGATGATGATGATGATGGTGGTGGTGGTGGTGGTGGTGGTGGGTGATGATGATGATGATGCTATGAGATGATGATGATGATGATGATGATGATGATGTGATGCTGATGATGATGATGATGATGATGATGATGATGATGATGATGATGATGATGATGATGAGGAGGAGGAGGAGGAGGAGGAGGAGGAGGAGGAGGAGGAGGAGGAAGATGAGGAGGCACAGGAGGAGGAGGAGCAGGAGGAGGAGGAGGAGGAAGAGGAGGAGGAGTAGGAGGAGGAGGTGTTCGTCGCCCACTTCGGGGCCTCCTGGGCGACCCCTGTCGCCACGGCCGGATCCGCCGCGGGATCCTGGAGTGAGCGCGCTCAAGGACAGGTTCGGAGGCCTGGGGTCGATTTTGCTGCCCTCCAGGAGGTGGACGTCCTGAAGGACCCCATCACGGACCCCGGCAAGAGGTCCAAGAAGGGCAGGCTGACCCTGGAGTTGAGGGAAGGCCCCCAGGCCGTGGATCAAGCAATGGCACAAGGAGTACACCTTTGGGGGGTCCGCGGGGAGTTCTCGGATCTGCGCTGGACCCCCCCTGGCCGAGCCTGCGGCGCCGCCCCTGGCGCACTCTTCGGGCCAGGGATGGGGGTCCGGCACGGGTCCAGGTCCAAGAAAAATCCGCGCGGACTTCCGAAAGTTTATGCTTGTGTCCTTGGTTGTGCCCCTGCCAGGGCAAGGAGTGGACCACGGTGACAGAGGGCAAGGGCGACTCCCAGGCCGGGTGGGGCGGCGGCGGCGGCGGCGGCGGCGGCGGCGGCGGCGGCGGCGGCGGCGGCGGCGGCGGCGGAAGAGAGGAGGAGGAGGAGGAGGAGGAGGAGGGGGGGGAGGAGGAGGGGAGGAAGGAGAGGAGGAGGAGGAGATGGAGGAGGAGGAGGAGGAGGGGAGGGAGGGAGGAGGGAGGAGGAGGTGGAAGGGAGGAGGAGAGAGGATGGGAGGAGGAGGAGGAGGGAGGAGGAGGGGATGGGAGGAGAGGAGGAGGGTAGGAGGGAGGTGAGGGGGAGGAGGAGGAGGAGGGAGAGGAGGGGGTGGGAGGAGGAGGGAGGAGGGAGGACACGATTAGCCCCACGCTGTGCGAACAACCTCTGCCCTCCTCCCTCTTCCCCCTCCTCCTCCCTCCTCCTCCTCCTCCCTCCTCCTCCCATCCTCCTCCTCCTTCCTTCCCTCCTCCCCCTCCTCCCCCTCCTCCCTCCTCCTCCCCCCTCCTCCTCCTGCCTTCCCTCCTCCCTCCTCCTCCCCCTCCCCTTTCCTCCTCCTCCTCCTCTCCTCCTCCCCGCCTCCTCCTCCTCCTCCTCCTCCTCCTCCTCCTCCTCCCCTCGCCGCCGACGGAAAGAAGGGTGAAGTGCTCGTCTGGCGTGGCCCTCGAGGCGCCGGCCTCCTCCCGGGAGTGCCGCGCCCGCCTTGGCCCGGGTGGCCCTGCCCCCCTGCAGACCTCGGGCGGCTCGATCTTGCAGAGCTGCGTCGGGCACGTCCTTCTATCGGGGGAACGCAAGACCCGAGTAAGCCGGAACCCAGGTTTGCCGACGTTTTTTTGACGAGCGCGTCCTGGATTTTGACGGTCCAGTTTTCGTGGGATGTCTGCAGCGGGAGCTCGCGTCAAATTTCAGATTGGGCCTCGTCATTTTTATGATGGCCCCGTCGGGCCAACCCGAGTCCCCCGTACCCGAGTCTTACGTCTCCCCGAGTCTACAGGAGGAGTCTTCGAAACTAGTCCAGGGATTGCCTGGGGGCGACTCTGCTGCTCTTTCTGGCCTCCCGTTTTCGCATAGTTTGATCTGACAGTTTTTATTGGTTCTTGCCAAATCCGCCTGTAGGCAGGCGGACATGCCCGACCCGATTGGAGAGTCCCCGGCGCCAGGAGCTCTCGACCACGGGCCGGGGGCTGTTTTTCGCCCTGTGCGGTTCTCTTGGAGGGGCCTTGGGACACACAAGTAGATAGACACGAATCCCAGGATTCCCCTCTACTTTTCCGTATCTTCTGGGTGTTCGTCTTCCCCCGCTTCCCATTTTGTTCCCACATGTTGGGGTGTCAGCGATTAATTGTGACTGTGTGTTTTTTCCTCCTCCCGATCTCTGCGGCCAAGGGGCCCAGAAGCCCGCAAGTGCTGGCCCGGTGCAGATGCCAGGTGCGGCGGCAATCCTCAGCCGTATTTTTCGGAGTCGCCAACGGTCTAGGTCTCGAAGGACACCACCAGGGATAAGTCGGGCCTGCCCCTCTACAGGAGGAGAATTCAAAAACAGACGAATTGTCGAGTTGCGATTATTTTTGAATATTTGTTGACTATTTGTGTTTTTCTTCCAAAATCCGCCGATAGAAGTACATGCTCGACCCAAGTCTAGGTCTCGCAGGACATCACCAGGGTTCCTCGGAGGCTCCTGGAGGCCGACTGAACCCAGAGCGTTCAAGAATTTTGACTCTCGAGGAAAGCGGACAATCGGCCCACGGACTTGTTCGGGGGTGCGCTCTGACAAGGAATCTCGGGAGGGGAATCCAGCCGTGCCCACGACGGCTCCCAGAAAGGGCTCAAATGCCCCCCCCCCCGCTGCCTGGCACCATCCTCGATATATGATCGCCCCCGACGCTAGAAGGCGTTGGGAAAAAAAAGCCACGTCAAGCGGATTTTCTCACACCGACCTCCTTGTTCAAGTGGCTTACCATAGTTCCGCCGACCCCCAGAAGAGGGAAGGAGTCCCAGGGTGAGGCATTTTGGGGCCTCCTGGGGACCATCTGGGTGCCTCTTTTGGGCCTCCTGTGGGCCTCTTCGGAGCTGTTGAGAGTTTCTTGGGCGCCTGCTGGCGGTCTCGGGGGTCCCCTCAGGGCGGAGGGTTGGGCCCCTCTTGGGGCCCTGTTGGGGCCCAACCGGGGCCATCTTGGGCGCCTCTTGGGCCGTCGTGGGGCCCTGTTCGGCCGTCTTGGGGCCCTGTTGGGGCCCTGCTGGGGCCATCTTGGGCGCCTCTTGGGCCGTCGCGGGGCCCTGTTCGGCCGTCTCGGGGCCCTCCTTGGGGCCCCACCTTTTCTTGCTCACCTCCCGCGCCCCTCACTGTCCCCCCGCAGGCTCCGACACGGCGCGAAGAGTTCGCGGCGCTCGTGGGCCGGGGCCGCTTCCGGCTGCCTCGCTCGGCGGGTCTGCTGCCGGCCCCGCCTTTTGGTTCCGGAGGCCTCCAACGGCTCCTGGAGGTCCCCCGAGTCGGCTACGCACGAGAGGGACCTTCCGCCCAAGTGAGCGAAGCAGAGTCGGCGTCACCCCAACCTGTTTGTAGCGCAGCCCCCCGCAGTTGCGGATCAGAGTGAGGGGGCGGCGAGGACGTCGTCAGTGCGCGAGGCTCTGAGGAAGCCCACCGCAGGCGCCTCACCTTTCTACGAATTATGCATTATGCATTGAGCCCGCCGCAGGCGCCGGCTTTGTTGTGAAAGCAGTGTTGATGGATCGCGGGGTGGGTCGCGGGTGGGTCGCGGGGTGGGTCGCGGGTTCGGGTCGTGGGGTGGGTCGCAGGCTGGGTCGCGGGTGGGTCGCGGGTAGGTCACGGGGTGGGTCGCGGGTGGGTCGCAGAGTGTGTCGCAGAGGGGGTCGCGGGCGGGTCGCGGGCGGGTCACGGGGTGGGTCGCGGGTGGGTCGCGGGGTGGGTCGCGGGGTGGGTCGCGGGGTGGGTCGCAGGGGGGACGACGACAACAAAGAAGAATAACGCAACAAGCAGAATCCTCACCGGATCCCCACTAGAGACTAGAGCCACTCACTCAAACACACGCGCGCACCCATGTGCGTCGCCCCCCCAGGGGCGACGCGCGCACCATGAAGACGACCCCGTTGTTCGGCGTCGCTCACTTGGGCGGAAGGTCTAGGGGAACGAAGACTGACCCAAACAGAAGAACTCGGAGGTCCGCGCGGAGTTCTCGGATCCGCGCCATGGCGGGGGGCCGAGCGCGGATCCCAGGGAATCCGCGCGGACCTCCGAGTTTTACGTTTACGCCATTCGTCGTTCCCTTGGGCTTTCCTCCCACGTGGGCGACGCAGAACACAGCGGGGCCTTCTTCGCTGGCCCTTGTCGCGCGAGCTGCCCCCCGCGAGGTCGCGCGCAGGAGAGCCCCCTTCGCCAGGGGGCGTGCCGCGCCGGCGGCCCGCGCAGACCTCCGCGTTGGCTCGCCGTGCCGGCCTGCGTGAGGCCAGGTTCTCCCCGTCGCTCGAGCAACATTCGACAGAGCGCTTTCCGCCGCTGCTGCTGGCCACGCGCAGAAGGGGGTATGGGGGAGGGGGGCAGGCTTCTTAGAAGCACCCCTGCTTCTTAGAGGGCGCAGGCCTTCTTTGTAGATGCAAGGCCGGCGCCTTCTAAGAAGCAGCCTCCTTCTAAGAAGCCTTCCCCCCTCCCCCTACCCCCTTGTGCGCGCCGCCAATGCTGGCAGGGGGGGTCAATCCCCCTCCTTTCCAAACATTTATTTGGGGGGGTCCGGACCGCATGTCGGACCGATCCCAACCGACTGGTACCAAGTGCAACCGACCTGGCCACTTCTCAAACGGCCAGAAAACCAAGTGATACCAATTACAACCAGCCATCTTGGGCCGACCATAGGATTCTATGTGTACAGCATTTTTCGACGATTCAAACATCAAATGGACGTCATAAGAGTTCGCCTTCATTCTGGGAGTCAACATGGGTGCCCCTGTTGGAATTCGTTCTAGTTCATTTTCTGGCATCTGGGAGCTGTGTTGCCTTGCAACAACAACTCCCCACAACACATATCACCTCAAGGCAACCACATATACCCAACGCGACAACATTCACTCACAGTACGTATCCACACCTGTCACAACAACACATCCAGAGCCCGACTTTTCATCCTCCTTGTCATCGTCCTTTCCTTCCCTCCTCCTGTTCCTCCTCCTCATCATCATCTTCCTCGTGCTGCGTTCCTCCTCTTCTTCGTACCCCTCCTCCTCCTTGTCTATGTTTCATTATCTTCCTCCTTGTCTTCCTCCTCATCATCGTCTTCCTCCTCCTCCTCTTCCTCCCCCGTAGCTGGTCCCACGAGGTCGAGCATGGCTCAAGACAGCCCCCGACAAACCTCCACGAGGCATCAAGACAGTTTCAAAATGGCTGAGCAAGGGCCATGGCAGCCTCGGTCAGCCTCCTTAGCCGACCAGGGCTCAACATACCCTCCAAGAGGCACCAATAAAGCCTCCGACCGTGACTGGACGGGCCGGTGGAGACACGCGAAACGTAAAACGCTCATGTGTTTGTTTGACATACGTTGGATAGGGGAATCGGGGAGGTGGCGGCGGCGCAGGGCAAGGTGACTCGTTCGGCCACCCTCTCCGCCCTCATGGGTTCGGGAGCTCCCCGAACCCACGGGGGCACGAAACGCTTCCATTGGAAGCGTCGCCCTCTGGAGTTTGGAGAATCCCGCGCCCGCAGGAAAGGAGGCAGGGGCCGAACGATTCGGCGGCGGCGGAGGCCAAGGTGATTCGTTCGGCCACGCCCTCATTCTCCATGGGCTCGGGGGCTCCCCGAACCCACGGGGCACGAAACGCTTCCATTGGAAGCGTCGCCCTGTGGAGTTTGGAGAATCCCGCGCCCGCAGGAAAGGAGGCAGGGGCCGAACGACTCAGCGGCGGCGGCGGAGGCCAAGGTGACTCGTTCGGCCACGCCCTCACTTCCCATGGCTTCGGGGGCTCGCCGGATCCCCGAGGGCACGAAACGCTTCCATTGGAAACGTCGCTTTCGGTGTCGGGGTCCGAACGACTCGGCGGCGGCGGCGGGGGGGAAGGCGACTCGTTCGGCCACCCTCTCCTTCCACATGGGTTCGGGAACACGAAACCGCGAGGAATCTTCAGGAACAGGACTCCTGAGGAACCCTCGGGAATCAATCAGGAGCCCCCAGAGCTTTTTAAGGAATCCTCAAGACCCTTGAGAAATCTTCCAGGAACAGAGGAAATCCCGGAGGAATCCTTCAGGATTCCTCGGGGCTTCTGAGGAATCCTCCAGGGTCCCTCCCGGAATCTGCAGCAATTCTCCGGAATCCTTCTTGCGAGTCCTAAGACATTTACAGAGGTTCTTTTCAGAAATCCGCCAGCAAATGTGTGACATCATTCAGGAACCTTCAGGAATTTTCCGACATCTTTGAGACACCCATAGAAATCCTTCCGGAATTCTTCAGAGGAGCGCTCGAGAATCCTCCGGAATCCGCAGGGGTCCTCGGGGATCCCCCAGGAATCTCAGGAATTCTCAGGAACCTGCACGATTCCTTGTGGAATCCGAGTGGAATCCTTCAGGCATCCGCAGAAATCATTTAGGAATCTGGAGGAATCCTTGCGGAACCTTGAGATATCCTTCCGGAATCCTTTTCGGAGTCGTCAGGACCCGTCAAGCATCCTTAGGAAACTTCAGACAATCTCAGCAATTCTTCGCGACTCGCAATCCTTTTGAGATTTCCAGACTTCTCTCTGGGATCGTCAGATATACCCAGGAATCTTCAGAACTCCGAGGGAATCCTTCAGAAATCCTTGACGTTCTTCTGAGGAGCCTCTAAGAAACCACTCGGGAGCCGGTCAGGAGTTCCAAAGCCTCTAAGGAGTCCCTAAGGAACCCTTGAGAAACCTCCAAGAACCCCCAACGGGGCTTCCAGAACGGTTGTAATTGGTACCATTTGGTTTGGGTTGGTACCGACATGGTTGGAATCCGTCCCAATTTGTTGTGAGTTTCACAGTTTCGGTTCGGACCCCCCCTAGAAAATTGTTCGGGTCGGGGAGGTCAAAAAATCCCACCCCCCCTGGGAAAATCATTCGAGGAGCCCAGAACCCTCCGGCAACGACAACGACGACCGACGATTCCGCCGCCGCCAGCAAACTACGCGGACGACGACAACGACCACGACGACGACAAAGACGACGTACGACGTACGACGACCGCGACGACGACCGCGACGACGACGCCGACGCCGATGCCGCCGACGACGCCGACGCCGCCGGCGACGACGACGATGACAGCGATGACGACGAAGACAGCAAAGACGACGAGGATGACGACAACAAACAAAGCAGAGTAGGCGCAGAGTAGAGCATACGATGACTAGAGTAGAGTAGGGTCGAGTCGAGTTGAGTCGAGTCGGGTAGAATAGAGTGGGAAATAGGTGGGTGGAGTAGAGTAGAATAGAATGGAGTAGCGTAGGTAGATTTAGGTCATATTAGAGCAGAGTAGAGAGGAGAGTACATGAGTATCGAGCAACAATATGATATATCGGAGCAGAGCTGAGCAGACCAGAACAGAGAAGGAGGATAGTACAGTAGAGTACGAGCAGAGTACCGTAGAGTATGGTCGGGTACGGTCGCGTAGAGTAGAGTAGGGTCGGGTAGAGCAGGGTAGAGAAGAGTAGAGTAGGCTAGAAGAGTACGGTGAGTAGAGTAGAGTGAGCGAATATCGACTGATCGAGATGATGTTCGGAAGTCAATGAGATATTGATCTCAAGATCGCGATGTTGATCTCGATCTCAGTACTGAGTGAGTGAGGAGAGAGTACCACACCTCAGTAGAGAGAGAGGGGGGGTAGAGTGAGTAGAGTAGAGTATAGTAGAGCCCTAGTCGGATTCTGAAAGAGATGGAGCGAACCCTAGTAGCATTCTATCAGAGCCAGCGCCGGGCGCGGGCGCCGGCGACAGGTCCGCCGCCGCCGCCACTGACGTTGTCGCCGTCGTCGGCGCCGTCGTAAGCGTCGTCGTCGTCGTCGTCATCGTCGTTGCGCTGGGGGTTGGGATTGAGCCCCCCAACAATTTTGCCGCGGGGGGGGTCTGGGCGCCCCGAGTAATAGTTGTCCGACGGGGGTGGGGTCGGTTGTCAGCGGGGTGGGGGAAATTAGGGTGGGCGGGGGGGTGGCATGGCTTGCGACCCCCGCTTTCGCATTTTTTGTGGGGATGTTAGTGGGGTGGGGGGGCATGATTTCTGATCCCCCCGTTCGTATTTTGTTTGGGGGGAGGGGGGGGCCCTGGTTTCCGACGGTTGACGACGGTGGGTCGCGCCCGGTGCGGGCGGTCCTCGCAGCATTGGCCAGCGCTCTCGGACGTGCCCCCCCCGACCTCCCAAAGTTGATTCAGGCTGCGCGCCAGAGTGCGCTCTTGCCCAGGGCCACTTTGGCGTGGTGCAGCCGGCAGATCCCTCTACAAAAATTAGTGGCGGAGATCCTCTTCCTCCTCCTCCTCCTCCTTTTCCTCCTCCTCCTCCTACTCCTCCTGCTCATGCTCCTCCTCCTCCTCCTGCTCCTCCTCCTGCTCCTCCTCCTCCCCCTCATCGTCATCATCATCATCATCATCATCATCATCATCATCATCATCATCATCATCATCATCATCATCATCATCACCGTCATCATCATCGTCATCATCATGATCATCAGCATCAGCATCAGCATCAGCATCAGCATCAGCATCAGCATCATCATCATCATCATCATCATCATCATCATCATCATCATCATCATCGTCCTGTTCCCCCTTTTCCGCTACCTTCCCCTGCCCTCGATCCCCAATCAAGGCGGACCAGCTCGTGGAGGTGTTCCGCAACGGCGTGCTCAAGGTGCGGAAGGACAGAGAACTACATACTTACAATCTCTCCGTAGGTCCGCGCGGATTTCTTAGGTCGGCGGTGCCCCCCACCTCCTGGCGCGCGGAGCGCGCCATGGGCGACGCCGGGGGCGCCGCCGTGGGGGCCCAGCGCCGTCCTCCAAATCCGCGCGGGCCCCTGGAAGCTTGCGTGGCGGTTGCCGCGCTGTTGTTCCTCGCTCCCCTTCCCACCTCCTGAGCCCTCCGCCTCTCCCTCTGCCTCGGCCCCCCCCGCCCTCGATCTTCGATCCCCCTCCGTCCTCGGCCCTTTCCCCTCGATCCTCCTCCCCTCGGTCCTCCTCCCCCTCCATCCTCCCCCCATCCTCCCCCTCGATCGTCCTCCCTCCCCTTCGATCCTCGATCTTCCCCTTTCAGTTTTTCCCAACCATCCTGTGGTGTTGGGGCCTCGTTTTGAAGAGACAGCGCCCCGCGTCTCCTACCTTCCCTCCCGCTGCCGCCTCCCTCCGCCTATCCCCGTCATCCCTGCCTCTGCCCTTCACATGTTTCTGTTTCGGCAACCTCAGACGTTTCGTGCCCCCACACAGGTCTCCACCGAAAGCTCCAATGGCAGCGCTCCCATGAGCCCCCTAGCTCATTACAGCGCGCCCTCACACGTTTCGTGGCCCCACAAGGGAGCTCCGCCGCCGAATGCTGTGGCAGCCCTCGCATGCGTCCCCCAAACCATGTCGGCACACCCCTCACACGTTTCATGCCCCCACAAAGAGCTCCACCGAAGGCTCCAGTGGCAGCGCTAGCATACGTGCCCTAGCCCATGTCGGCACACCCTTCACACGTTTCGGGGTCCCACAGTGATCTCCGCCGAAGGTTCCAGTGGCATCGCTCGCATGCGCCCCCCAGTCCATTTCGACACCCCCCCTCGCACGTTTCGCAACCCCAGTCCACATGTGCAGTGTCCCATCCTTCCCACGGCGCGCTACCTACGAGGAGGGTGGTCATACCCTGCGTGACTCGCAGCGGCACATGGTTGGGTCCTTCGCCAGGCTACTTTGATGTTGGTTCTGTGGATATTTCATTCCCAACCATCCTGT